TGTAGTTTTCATTGTATAAGTCTTTCACCTCTTTTGTTAGGTTGATTCCCAAGTATTTTATTTTTTTTGAAGATATTTTGAATGGAGTGGTTGTCCTCATTTCCATTTCAGAGGATTTGTCGCTGATATACAGGAATGCCTTTGATTTATGCGTGTTGATTTTATATCCTGCCACTTTGCTGAATTCATTTATTAGCTCTAATAGTTTCTTTGTAGAGCCTTTTGGGTCTGCTAGGTATAGAATTATATCATCTGCAAATAGTGATAATTTAAGTTCTTCTTTTCCTATTTTTATGCCTTTAATTTCTTTCGTCTGTCTAATTGCTCTGGCCAGTGTTTCGAGAACTATGTTGAACAGAAGTGGAGAGAGACGGCATCCCTGTCTTGTTCCAGATTTTAGAGGGAATGCCTTCAGTTTTTCTCCATTCAGAATGATGCTAGCCTGAGGCTTAGCATAGATTGCTTTTACAATATTGAGGTATGTTCCTGTTATCCCTAGTTTTTCTAGAGTTTTGAACATAAAGGGATGCTGTACTTTGTCGAATGCTTTTTCCGCATCTATCGAGATGATCATATGGTTCTTATTTTTAAGTCTATTGATGTGGTGAATAACATTTATTGATTTCCGTATATTGAACCAGCCTTGCATCCCAGGCATGAATCCTACTTGATCATGGTGTACAATTTTTTTGATATGTTTTTGTATCCGATTCGCCAGAATTTTGTTGAGGATTTTTGCATCTAGGTTCATTAGAGATATTGGTCTGTAGTTTTCTTTCTTTGAAGTGTCTTTGTCTGGTTTAGGTATCAGGGTGATGTTGGCCTCATAGAATGAATTTGGAAGTTCTCCCTCTTTTTCTATTTCCTGAAGTAGCTTGAAAAGTATTGGTATTAGTTCTTCTTTAAAGGTTTTGTACAATTCTGCTGTATACCCATCCGGTCCTGGGCTTTTCTTAGTTGGTAGTCTTTTGATGGTTTCTTCTATTTCCTCAATTGATATTGGTCTGTTTAGGTTTTCTATATCCTCCTGACTCAATCTGGGCAGATCATATGACTTAAGAAATTTATCTATGCCTTCACTATCTTCTAATTTATTGGAGTATAAGGATTCAAAATAGTTTTTGATTATCTTCTGTATTTCTGAAGTGTCTGTTGTGATATTGCCTTTTTCATCCCGTATGCTAGTAATTTGAGTTCTCTCTCTTCTTCTCTTCGCTAGCATCACTAAGGGTCTGTCGATTTTGTTTATTTTTTCAAAGAACCAACTTTTAGTTTTGTCAATTTTTTCAATTGTTTCTTTTGTTTCGATTTCATTAATTTCAGCTCTGATTTTAATTATTTCTTGCCTTCTACTTCTTTTGCTGTTGTTTTGCTCTTCTTTTTCAAGGATTTTGAGATGAAGTATGAGATCATTTATTTGTTGGTTTTTTCTTTTTTTAAGGAATGAACTCCAAGCAATGAATTTTCCTCTTAGAACTGCTTTCAATGTGTCCCATAGATTCCGATATGTTGTGTCTGTGTTTTCATTTATCTCTAAGAATTTTTTAAGTTCCTCCTTGATGTCTTCTATAACCCATTGATCATTCAGTAACCTATTGTTCATTCTCCAAGTGATGTATGCTTTTTCCTTCCTTCTTTTATCATTGATTTTCAGTTTCATTCCATTATGATCAGATAAGATGCATGGTATTATCTCTACTCCTTTATATTGTCTAAGAGTTGCTCTGTGACATAATATATGATCTATTTTTGAGAAGGATCCATGTGCTGCTGAGAAAAAAGTGTAACTGCTTGATGTTGGGTGGTATACTCTATATATGTCAATTAGGTCTAGGTTATTAATTGTGTTATTGAGTTCTATAGTTTCCTTATTCAACTTTTGTTTGGAAGATCTGTCCAGTGGCGAGAGAGGTGTGTTGAAGTCTCCCATGATTATGGTATGGTGGTCTATTAGACTCTTGAACTTGAGAAGAGTTTGTTTGAGGAACATAGCTGCACCATTGTTTGGGGCATAAATATTTATGATTGTTATGTCTTGTTGGTGTATGGTTCCCTTAAGCAGTATGTAGTGTCCCTCTTTATCCCTTTTGATTAACTTTGGCTTGAAATCTATTTTATTTGATATGAGTATGGACACTCCTGCTTGTTTCCGAAGTCCATATGAGTGATATGATTTTTCCCAACCTTTCACCTTCAGCCTATGTATGTCTTTTCCTATCAAATGCGTCTCCTGTAGGCAGCATATTGTTGAGTCTTGTTTTGTGATCCATTCTACTAGCCTGTGTCTCTTAATTGGTGAGTTTAAGCCATTAACATTTAGGGTTATTATTGAGATATGGGTTGTTCCTCCTACTAAACATGGTTTGTTTTCCTTTTTGATTATTTTCCCCCCCTTTACTGTCCTACCTCCCACTGTTGGTTTTCATTGTTATTTTCCATTTCCTCTTCCTGTAATGTTTTGGCGAGGATGTTTTGAAGAGATGGTTTTCTAGCTGCGAATTCTTTAAACTTTTGTTTATCGTGGAAGGTTTTAATTTCGTCTTCCATCCTGAAGCTTAATTTCGCTGGATACACAATTCTTGGTTGGAACCCATTTTCTTTCAGTGTTTGAAATATGTTATTCCAGGATCTTCTAGCTTTCAGAGTCTGTGTTGAAAGATCAGCTGTTATCCTGATTGGCTTACCCCTAAATGTAATCTGCTTCCTTTCTCTTGTAGCTTTTAAAATTCTCTCCTTATTCTGTATGTTGGGCATCTTCATTATAATGTGTCTAGGTGTGGATCTCTTATGATTTTGCACATTCGGCGTCCTGTAGGCTTCTAGGATTTGGGATTCTGTCTCATTCTTCAAGTCTGGGAAGTTTTCTTGTATTATTTCATTGAATAGACTGCTCATTCCTTTGGTTTGGAGCTCTGTACCTTCCTGTATCCCAATGACTCTTAAGTTTGGTCTCTTAATGTTATCCCATATTTCTTGGATGTTCTGCTCATGGTTTCTTAACAGTCTTGCTGAGCTGTCTATGTTCTTTTCCAGTTGAAATACTTTGTCTTCATTGTCTGATGTTCTATCTTCTAAGTGTTCTACTCTGCTGGTAGTATTCTCCATTGAGTTTTTAAGTTGGTTTATTGCTTCCTGCATTTCTAGGATTTCTGTTTGTTTGTTTTTTATAACCTCTATCTCCCTGTATAGTTGATACTTTGCTTCCTGGATTTGTTTGCATAATTCATTGTGGAAGTGATCTTTCATTGTCTGATTTTGCTGTTTAATGTCTTCCTTAATACTCCAGATCATCTGAAGCATGTATATCCTGAATTCTTTATCTGACATTCCATCTGCTGCAGCTGTTACCTCTTCTAAAGTTGCGTTGACCTGCATTGCTTGTGGTCCTTTCTTTCCTTGTCTTTTCATACTGCTTGTGTATCTTTCCTGCAGGCGCGGGCGGCGGCTCTGCTCTCTCCTTATTCCAATTGGGGTGTCGTGGCTACCACGCCGGCAGGTCACTGGGCCTGTTCTGGGCGCTGGCAGCGGCTCTGTTCTGCCCCTACTCCAATTGGGGTGAAGAGTGTACCACGCCGGCAGGCCACCAGGCCTGATCCGCCGGTCAGTTGCAGGTTTGCCTACCCTGCAGGCGCGGGCGGCGGCTCTACTCTGCCCCTACTCCATATGGGGTGACGTGTCGGTCGTACCGGCAGGCCACTGGGCCTGTCCCGCTGGTCGGTCGCAGATCTGCCCACCTTTCGGGCACGGGTGGAGGCTCTGCTCTGCCCCTACTCCAATTGGGGTGTCGTGACTACCCCGTCTGCAGGACGCTGGGCCTGTTCCTGGCACGGGCGGCGACTCTGCTTTACCCCTACTCCAATTAGGGTGGTGTGTGTACCACGCCGGCAGGCTCCTGGGCCTGATCCGCCGGTCTGTTGCAGGTCTGCCTACCTTGGAGGCGCGGGCGGCGGATCTGCCCTGCCCCTCCTACCACACCTGTGGACCCCTGGGCCTGATCTGCAGGTTGGTCACAGGTCTGCTCACCCTGCGGGCACGGGTGGCAGTTCCGCTCCGCCCCCACTCCAATTGGGGTCACGTGGCCACCACACCGGCAGGGCCTGATCCGGGCGTGGGAGAAGGATCTGCTCTGCCCCTACTCCAGTTGGGGTGACGTGTGTACCACACTGGCAGGCCACTGGGCCTGACCCGCCAGGCTGTCACAGGTCTGTTTACCTTGCAAGCACAAACGGCAGCTCTGCCCTGCCCCTCCTACCACGCCCATGTACCACTGGGTCGCGGGTCTGCCCACCTTGCGGGTGTGGGTGGCGGCTCCGCTCCGCCCCCTCTCCAATTGGGGTCACGCGGTCACCATGCTGGCGAGTCGCTGGGCCTGCTCCGGGCGCTGGCGGCGGCCCGGCTCCTCCCCTCTGGCTCGACGACAAATTGAGGAGACTCGGGTGTCTGTGCCTCACCCCCCCTACCAGGAGACCAACTGTTTCTGTCGCCGCTGGTATTGATGAAGTTCTCTCCTCCGCCGCTTTCTGATGACATCAGATCTCTGCCATGTTGGTATCCTATGCGAATGGCAGCATTTCGTTCCCCTTGCCGGGCAACCAAAGCAACGGGTGAGTCCTGACCAGCCCTCAGCAGGACCCGGACCGAGACGCAGTTTCTGCGGGCTCCTAGCCTTGGGCCAGGGAAGTTCCGGGAGCCGGAACTCGGCCTCTCCGTGCTCGGTGTAAGCTCCTATAAGTGTAGGCTCCAAGAAGCAGTCCCCGCGGGCTCAGTTCCGGGAGCTGGAATTTGGCCGCTTAGTGCTTGGTGTATGCTCTGATAGGAGCAGGGTCCAAGAAGCAGCCTCCACAGGCTCCGCAGCCCTGGGCCAGAGCTGTTCCGGGAGCCGGAACTCGGCCGCCCCGAGCTCGGTGTTCGCTCCGATAAGATCAGGTTCTAAGAAGCACCCAGGCACTGAACCCTAGCAATCAGTCTGCAAGCCGCAGGCGAATGGCAGCCTGAAATTACCTGTTCTATGGCTGAATGAGCTGCGGTCAGTCGAAAACAGGGATGGTGATGTCAGCTTTCCAACATGGTGACTGCTGGCCTCCTCTGTGGTCTGACCGGTGTGGAGAACCGAGATGGACCGCTTCCTTCCCCGTCTCGAACCCAGAATTCAGCCCTGAGTACGGTGCTTGCACGGCTGGCAGAAACTGCAGCGCTGTATCCCTGCGTCGCTATCTCCTCGTTTCCCAGCGTGCGCTGCAGACTCTAGCCGCGGGGCGATTTGCTGAATAAGCAGTGTTACCCTCCGTGTGACAAACCTCTCGCATTTGAGTCCCCGTAGCCGATCCTCGTGCGATGGAAATCCTTCCTCCAGGTTCCGGAGCACCCCACTATTGCTGGAAATTCCTAACAAGATATCCTTTAGCCGTCCTGACTTGTCATACTCCCACACAGTGAAGCAGCAAACGGGGGCAATGCACTCCCCTCGCCGCCATCTTCCCTCCTGCGATGTGATACTTTTGACTTGTTTTTTTTTCCCCTAGGAATTGTTTTGGTTATTTGGGCTTGTCTTTTGGTTTTTATGAATGACTGTCAAATTTACAAGTCTCAAGTCCTCCAATCCACATTTGTCCAATGGAGGTTTGAAAGCTAAATTTAATTCTCCCAGTTCAAAGATATCTCATCATTATATCTACCATAATTGCCATGTATTGTTTTACAGATCCAGGTTTCAACCTAATGAAATTCCTTTGGATTATAGTTCTATTGTTTATCATTTCAATTATAGTTATAAGCATTTGTTCAACTTCAAATATATGAACCATATCTATATGGCATTATAAATATTATTGGTGAACATATAGAGCAGGAATGGTTAACAGTCTTGTGCTACCAAATGACAAACAGTGCAGGTGTATTAATTTTTGAATGCTACACAGGAAACAAATATTTCTGGAGCATTTATGTGCACAGGACATTGTGTCTCAGGGTAGGTAATGCATTCATTAATTCATTCAACAATATTTGCTAAGAGCTGCCCTGGAAGATGAAAATATTATGATGAATAAATTCAGCCGATCTAGTTGCAGGGAACTTAAAGATTAGTTATAGAGGAAGACAACTGTTAAAAGTGAGAATAGCTCTTTTATTTTTGGTAAGTTACAGAATGTATCATATTATTTAGTCCCAAATTAATGTAAAATGGTTCATTTTCTTTGTTTTCAGGTAAGTAAGTTAAGACTCATAGAAATGAATTTTTCAGAACAGATGGCTCATCTGGTCAGTGGTAGAATTGATTGGTTAGGATCTGGTATGTACACTAAGGCTGTTTTAGAAAAAAAACAGCTTTGGAGTATTGGTGAAGTTACATATGAATTAACAGTTTTTATAATAAATTCACATTTCATTTAACTTTTCCATAAGGTCCTCAAGGATAGTCTCCAAATTCATCATCATTGATCCAGCATTGATCCATTGATGATGATCTTCTAGTTCAGTAAACTTGGCATTAGAGGAATCAGCAGTTAGGAAAAGATATTTCATATTGAGCACAAACCAGACTTTTTTTTTAATCACCAGTTTCCTGATTTACTTTCTGATATATTTTCATATGAAATAATTGGATTTTTACCACAAGAAAGATCAATCTTTCAAGGAAGGCAATTTTGATGCATACCCCACTTCAGTAGTTCATCAAAATGTGTTATATGTTAGTCTGCAAGTTCCTTGGAGGAAGTGAACTTCCATGAGATTTGATGGAGGGTCAAATGTTTCATGTAAAAAATTTATCTGAGAGCTACTATGTGGCATGAATGAAAGTAACATCATCATATCTTGAGTACCATAAAAATGCTGATATTTACTTTTAAATACAATTTGTTTTCTACCACTCAACTTAAAAAACGACAGAGAAAAGAATATTAGTGAGTGGCCAAGTACTAGAAAGAAAATTCACAAAGAGAGCTATGTTAGAAAGGAAAGAATAGCTTTTTCTGTGCAGTTGAAATATGAGATTTATTAGCTGAAGAAGTGGAAGGAGGGGTATTCAAGGTGTGATGGATAACACATTATATGGAGTATATCTTCTGTTAATTGTTCTTTTTTCCTCCAGAGTCTTGAATCAACACTCTTCTCAGTCCTATGTGACAGGTGTCAGCTGGTCATGAGAAGGGCAGCAGGATAGGTGCACTGGCTATGATATCCCAGCAGAAGGTAGCTTATCAGCACCCACAGATCAAACTCACAATTACAGTCTAGTTAATTTTTTTAAAAAAATTTAAAATGGACACAATACCCTTATTTTATTTATTTTTATGTGGTGCTGAGGATTACCAGTGCCTCACACATGCCAGGCAAGTGCTCTATCACTGAGCCACAACCTTAACCCCAGTCTGGTTAATTCTTGATTAAAATCTGAAATAAGATACCCTACACAAAGGACAGGGGCAAAAGATAACAACAGAGAATAATAATGCTGCATTTTTACATGTTAGGTATTTAAAATACATTTCTACATTACTACATTTTGTCTTAAACTCAGTGAAATGAGGAGGGAAAACACCATCTCTATTTTTAGGCAAAGATGTAGCAGATCCAGAGGACTGGGTGACCTGACCAAAGAAAAAACAGACAGCAAGACTATGGTTGAAACAATAATGCCAGCATTCCTGATCTAGTGATTTGCAGTACAAAGAACAGAGTAAGAATAGAAGACTGGTCAGAAATGAACTAAATACAAAAACAGAAAATAGAAAGCATGATTTTATAGCACTGAGGGAATATTGTAAAATATTTTTAATTCATTTTCTTCATAGAGGACATTGAATTTTCTTTTGTTATTTGTGCAGGTGAAAGGCTATGGGAAGTTTCAACACCAGTTTTGGAGAGGGCTTCATTTTGGTGGGCTTCTCAGATTGGCCTCAACTGGAATTCATCCTTTTTATCTATATTTCACTTTTCTACTCCCTAACTCTCATTGGAAACACCACCATCATTGCACTCTCACAACTGGACCCTCGACTGCACACACCCATGTACTTCTTCCTCTGCCACCTCTCCTTCCTGGACCTTTGCTATACCACCAGCACTGTGCCCCAGCTGCTGATCAATCTTTCTGGACTTGACAGGACCATCAGCTATGGACGGTGTGTGGCTCAGCTCTTCTTTTACCTTGCTCTGGGCTCCACTGAGTGTGTGCTCCTGGTGGTGATGGCCTTTGACCGCTATGCTGCTGTGTGTCGTCCATTCCACTACACAACCATCATGCACCCCCTTCTCTGTCACTCCCTGGCTATTGCTGCCTGGGTGGGAGGTTTCATGAACTCTCTGATTCAGACAAGCCTCATGATGGCCATGCCTCTCTGTGGCCTCCATTACCTGAACCACTTCTTCTGTGAGATGCTTGTACTCCAGAAGTTGGCTTGTGAGGATACAGGAGGCACAGAGGCCAAGATGTTTGTGGCCCGAGTCATAATCATTGTTATTCCTGCAGCACTGATTCTAGGCTCCTATGCACACATTGCTCAGGCAGTGCTGAGGATCAAGTCAATGGCAGGGCGCAGAAAGGCTTTTGGGACCTGTGGGTCCCACCTCCTTATGGTTTGTCTGTTTTATGGCTCAGCCATGTACACCTACCTCCAATCCATGGGCAGTTACTCTGAGAGTGAGGGAAAGTTTGTTGCCCTTTTTTATACTATCATCATCCCCATGCTCAATCCTTTGATCTATACCCTAAGGAACAAGGATGTGAAGGGAGCTCTGTGGAAGGTACTGGGGAGAGACAGAGACTCTGGGTAACAGAAGAAAAGAAGGTTAGTAGTAACATTTCTTGTCAACAGCTCTCTGATATGGAGTCCATCCTGCTTCTTGTAGAGTAGTTATTGTGTAGAAAATAGTTCTCAGTTGGCCCCGGGTTTTATTGTTTTCCTTGTTTGGAAGTTTGAAGGGGAGATCTCTTGAGATGTTTACTTGCTATGATCACTGTGCAGTGGGGAGTAAGTGCTGATTTGTATCTCCACTTTCTAAGGGAATAAGATGGGAATAGGGTGCAGAATGAGGTTGGGTTCTTGGCATGTCTGAGAACCAGAAAAGGATCAATTCAGAATGACCACACTTTTACCAACAGCCAGATTCTGACATGTTGCCATCTATATGGCACCATGACAAAGTCATAGGACATAAGTTCACCCTGATGTTCTAATTTTTTGTGACTCTGGCCATAATCATTCATATCTCAAGGCCTGTTTAAAAAGTCTCTTACAGTTGTTCCCCTTCTGTGATACTTTGAGCAAATAATTTTAAACAGAGCTACTTCATGAAACAGACCTGTTGTCATTTACCCATTGAAGAAAGAGGTAATGTCAATTGACCATCACTGCATAAAGGGAGAGAGCAATAGCTTATCAGCCTCACCAGAGTCTCAGTCATGCTACTTGGTGTCATGCTGCATGGAGAAGAAATTTGCCATGTAAGATAGAAGAGAACAGAGAAGAAATGAGTATACGAATAATGAACTAATAAGAGAAATTTTAAAATAAAAAAGTACATGTTGTACTCAAATAGAAGAAAATCATATAGAAAAATCATTATTTTGAAGAGAGTTATAAAATAAATAAAGAGCAAGCAAAATAAAAGATTTATAAATATTTATCATTTGACATGTATCTGAATGTTCATTTCTGGGCTTTTCTATATTTCCTTTCTACATATCTGTCTTCGTGGTGGTAACCCACATTCCTACCACTGTCATTTCATTCCATGTACTTAAATGAGGGTTTCATAACAAAAAGTGCAAGTATGTTTGTTATAAGACCTTTTGCAGTTTTCTCATATTTCAATTTGATTTAATCATCTTTCACTTCAATTACAATAATATTTGCTTAATATTTGAAAACTTGTTTTGTGTAAGTTGTCATTAATTCTGTAACAACATTGAGTTATATTCACTGCCTATTCATTATGAAGTTAAGGTTCAAAAGTTTTAAATAACTTACTCAAGTTTAAATAGAAAATAAATTGCGAAGGCAAGGCCCAGGCTTCTGCAATCCTAAACCAAACCCTTAGCATAACATGCTGCCAGTTCTATTTTCTGAGAGCAAATGTCATAATGATTGAGATTAGGAAGAAATGTTGGAGAGGTGAGAAGGATGCCAAGATGGTACAATGAAGAAAGGAGTCTCATTAGCAAATGGTTTTTAGAAAACTGGCTCTCTTCTTGCGATGGATGAATTTAGATTCTTATCTTATGACATATATAAAATTAAAAGATATCAAATACCTAAACATAAAATGGAAAACTATAAAAATCTTAGAAAAAGACACAAGGAAAAATCTTGGTGACATTTCATTTGGCAATGATTTCCTGCATATTGCACCAAAAGCCTGGGTAACATTAGTTAAACTGGATCAACAGGACCCTGTCAAAATTAAAAACTTCTGTACATCAAAGGACACAATCAACAGAGTGAAAGGGCAAAGTACTCAATGGGAGATCACTGGGTACTTCCAAATCACATATCTACTAATATATAAAGGCCATCTACAAATCAACAACAACAACAACAAAATTAATGACATCGCTATAAAGAATGTTCAAAGGAGTTAAAGAGACATTGTTCTTAAAAAGCTATGTGACTAGTGTATGAAAAGATGCCAACATAAAAAATCATTAGGCTCATGCAAATCAAAACCACAAGCACAATCTACTTATACCCATTAGGTTAAATGCTATTTAAAAAACTAAACATAAGAAGGATTGTGAGAAAATGGAAAAATTGAAACTCCTCATGTACTCTTGGAGGGAATGTAGATTGGTATCATCTCTACAGAAAACAGCATGGAGTTTCACAAAATAAATAAATGAAAGTAGAATTACCATAGGATCCAGCTATTTTTATTTCTGAGTCTATATCCAAAATAATTGAAAGCAGGGTTTCAGAGATTTGCTTGCATACCCATGGTATTAGGTTCTTTATAGACAGGACCAAAGAGAAAGAGAAAGGTGTGTGGGTGAGAGACAGACAGGTGTGAAGGCATTTATCAAGGGAATTTGCACATGCAATTGTGGAGGATGAGAAGCCTCACAATAGGCCACCTGCAAGCTGGAGACCCTGTAATGCCAGTAGGATAGCTCAGTTCAAGTCTGAGAGTCTCCGAACTAAGGAAACCAATGTGTAACTTTCATGCAAGGTGAAGTCCTGAAAACTGAGGCCTGTGAGTCCAAAGTCTAGGATGGCTAGAATCTTAGTATCCAATGGCAGAAGAAGATGGGTGTCCTAGGAGAGAGAGAGAGAGAGAGAGAGAGAGAGAGAGAGAGAGAGAGAGAGATTCACTTTCCTCTGCTTTTTAAACTATCTTGGTTCCTAGCTAATTAGATGGTACCTGCTCATATTGAGAGCAGATCTTCCCAACTAGTTTCACCAACTGACATGCCAATATACTCTGGAAATACTCTCATATATCCAGAAATAATGCTTTACCAGTTCTCTATATATTTCTTAATCCAGTTAACTTAACTGTCATACTCATTGTCACAGCAGCATTATTCACAATAGCCAAAAGGTGGAAGCAACCTCAGTGTCCATCTACCAATGAATGAATGAATAAATTGTATATATATATATATATATATATATATATATATATATATATAATGTCTCATATATATTATATATATTATCTCATATATATATACATACACAAATACATATACACATACAGTGGAACATTATTTAGCATTAAAAAAGGAAATTCTGACACATGCTTCAGTATGGTAGAACTTTGTGAACTATAAAGCATAAGCTAAGTTAAATAGCCAGTCACAATAGCCAAGCACAAATTCTGTATAATTCTACTTATATGAGTAGAGTAGTCAAATTCATTAGATGTAGAAAGTAGAATGGCAGTTGCCAGGGAGTAGAGAAGATAGGGGCTTGTTTAGTGAGTATAGAGATACAGTTTTGCTAGATAAAAAAGTTCTGGAGAGCTGATGTATGACAATGTGAATGTACTTAGCACTATTGAACTATATACTTAAAATGATTAAGATGGCAAATTTTACGTTATGTGTATCTCACCGCAATTAGAGAAAAAATGTAAAATTAGTAACATCCAGAATGCCAATAATAATCACGTCATAGAAGAAATTAGCAATCAATGGATAAAAATCACAAAACATTTCTAAAGAAGATAAAAAAATCTAAATGATACTGAAGATCTACATATTCATATGTGGAATACACTATACTATATAAATTCCTATTTTACTCAAACTAATTCTAATTATTTCCTGATACAATTCTCTCTTGATTGAAAAAGTGCAAATTGATGTCAATAAGGTACAATTTCATACCCTTTAAATTAGCAAACATTTAAAGTTTTTGTTTGTTTTTGTTTTTATTGTTTTTTAAATGACAGGGATGAGAGATATTCCAGTGTTTTATTGTTGAAGATACTTGTATTTTCTGACTCAGATTTGACTGTGATAAACCATCTAGAAAAACTCTTGCCCATAGCACAGAGCCATGCATAAAAATCTTCACTACCATAGTGTTTGAAGTAGAAAAACATTTGAAATAACACAATAGTTTGTTCTTCAGATATAATGATTAAACAGTGGTATGTTGATTCCATGAATCTATGTAGCAATTAAAATAAATGAACTCCTCAGTCTCCCCTCTACCCATTGGAGAGCCATCTGAAGAGGCCAGGAACAGCCGCTTTCATGCTTCCATTTCTTCATATTTATTCCTGTGGTTACATGTATTTAGTAGAATTGGGAAAGATTTTCACGCTCAGAACCAAAGGAATTTTGTTTTTAATCATGGCTTTTCCATTGAGAGCTAGTTTCTTGGTCACAATTCATTAAATTATTCTGAGGTTTTGGTTAAAAGTATTCCCAGGGCATTGTGCTATCTTTAAATGATAGAAAGATGTTGTGAAGTGTGCTCAGGTTTAATTTTTCTTATGATTTTTAAAGGTAAGAGTAAGGATGGAGATATTGAAATCTAAAGGAAGCTGAATTTAGCTGAGTGTAAGGAAGAATTTACAAAAGTAAGAGATGCATAACAGGGTGCTCATAGGCAAAAATAATACATTACACATTATAGAATAACTAAGTAGATTTTAAATGTCTCACTATGAAATATTGTTAGGTAAGCAAGGTCATGGAAATGTTAGTTACCTTGAGTTAATCATGCACATTTTGTACATATATGAAGATTTCACACTGAACCATTTAAACATATACCATTATGATTTGTCAAATTGAAAAATTAGAAAATATAAGTGCCTCCTAGGAAGTAATGAGGGCCCCTTCCCTGAGACTTTAGATAGGAGCTGTATGGCCATGGTTAGATGCTGGTGCTTAGAAGGTCTGTGAATCAGACAAGGGCTTCAAAAGTTGCTTCCAAATCCTATCTATCTATCTATCTATCTATCTATCTATCATCTATTTATTTATTTATTTTGAGAGAGGGGAGAGAGAGAGAGAGAGAGAGAGAGAGAGAGAGAGAGAGAGAGAGAGAGAATTTTTTAATATTTATTTTTCAGTTTACAGTGGACACAACATCTTTATTTTATTTTTATGTGGTGCTGATGATCGAACCCAGCGTCCCGCTCATGCCAGGCGAGTGCGTTACTGCTTAAGCCACATCCCCAGCCCCCCAAATCTCATTTATTGTTCTAGTTTTCCCAGATATTCTCTCCTGTCCTCTGAGAACTGAGGGTCACACATTCCAGTATTCATGGTACAAGGAGGGTATGTACAGAAAAGGGGCTGGTTGGGTGGAGCAGCTGCATGTTTCTTCAATCTAGGGCAACTGTTGTTAAACTTCAGTTAATTTTATTTGAGGCAATTCAGTTAACGTATTGCCACATTTTTTAGAATTTCAAAGAAGAAAAATATCTAGATTTCATGTAAATTCTATTGATTTTAAACCCGAAATCTCAGTTAAAAACCAACTAATATGTATCAAATGCCTTCCCAGACTGTTTTGCTTTCCTTTCCCTTCACCCCACCTCTTTCTCTTTTGAAATTATGCAGAGGAGTAAAGTTATTTGCAAAATATTAATATTTTCATGTTTTCGACAGGTACAGTTAATGTCTAGCATCAAAATATTTGATTTTATTTAAAATTACAGAAATTACAGATGGATGCACAGCTCTTGGAATATAATAAAAATAGTCCAATTTTGTACCTTAAAAGTGTGAATTGTAGGATGTGTGAATTATTTCTCAATAAAAATGTTGAAAGCAATTTATGCTAATTATATGGTAAAGGAAACTATTACCATATGAAGAAAAAGCAGTCACTCTCCCCACCCACTTATCACCTTCAATACTCTTCATCTAATAAGCAGCATAACCATGCATGGTTTGGGGTGAATCTTCCCATACTTTTATTTATGCTTATATGAAGAGGTTATGGAAATGTTACCACACATGTGTAGTTCCCACCATTTATATATTACAGATATAAGACACCACTACCATGTAATTGGGAACCTGCTTAGCTCATTTATGCCTGGGTGCATAGCCTGGCACAGGTAATGGATAGCTGTGCAAACTTGAAAATCTTTCTTGAACTCTCTGCCTCAGTGTCCTCTTCTTTAGAAAAGGAGTAATAATTCACCCAAGGTTATTTTAAGGACTAATTGGGTTAACACATAAATGTTCTTAGAGTGGAACCTGGCACATCATAAGAAGCATATATTTTAGGTATTGTTTTTCTTTCAAAAAGAAGTTCATCTAGGTAGACTTTCCCCAGCC